TCGGAGTGTTAGTCAGCGTCATCTGTAGCTGTGGCGTCCAGTGTGAAACACCCTTTTATGAGCCTGTGTGGCGTCACGTGGCACGTGAACATTCCTTGGCAATATTGTCTGTTAGATCTCATATATGTATATATATATATATATAGCAGGTTCTGAAATCTGAAGGGTTTTCTGAAGTTAGTCGCGGCTTGGTCGAACAGGAAAGACATGTTCGTGACTTGAGTTTGTAAAATACTGTTAAAACAGTTCATTTCTCCCACCTGGTAGACCCACCGCATTTTCGGAGTGAGGATATTTAGGGAGCCTGTATTTGCGAGGGCGAGAACCTCAATGTCACTGTGAACGGACTTCAATGTCTGCGTGGCATTCCTGAAGCAAATTCACCTTAGCACTGCAGACACCTCAAAGGCCTTTTAGTACAAGGCTCAAAACCGGGCTGTTGTTATTATGGTATCCTTAACAACAGGGAAGGCAGATCAAAGAACTGGGTAGCTCGCAATGTTCTCTGTAAACCGCAAAGCTCCACTAGCCTGTTTCTCATACCCTAAGTTTTGCTTTTGTTCATTATATGATTTCCTGCAGGAAGTTTAGTTCCTGCGAACAAATCTGTACAATGGACTGCTTAAAAGCCGTACAAGCTGTAAGCATTGCCCAAAAATAGTAGGGCACTCGATCACAGTACACCGATCCTCCCCCTTCCCCCACAAGCCTGTATATTAGGCAAGAAATAAATAAAGCAAAAGGGAGTAACAAGGGACAAACCAAGTTTTTCCAGGTCAGATTTTATTGCAAACAGCATCCAAACGGCATCTGGCCTTAATTTCTTCAAACCGTCCTGCCCCCTTTGCTCAAAGGTTGTGTCCTTGAGATAAGCCTTGAACAAAGCAATAACCCGAAAAGTCATACAGGGTACGAAATACACAAACGTAGTCCATATACAGCTCTAAATAAAACTGATCACTACATAAGGTCATCCTTGTGGCCGTTTATACACAAAAGAAAAAAAATTGCGGCGCTGCACTGCACTTTCCCACGAAGCATGTCTGAGTCATAAGCAAACCGGAATCTTTTGAACAGAAGTGTTAAGCAGACAGAAAGACAGGCTGACACACAAGCAGACATACGACGGATGGACGCGAAGAGTAAATTAATCGCATTCTACATATTTAAACCAAAAACTTTACTGGCATAGTTGGGTGAGTGTAGCTGTTATTATCGCAAATGTGCCCTTCATGCGAAAAACAGATACCCCATGGTAAGACGTGCAAAATTTCGCTGCTGCATTGTAGTTGTACACAAGTATACAGGAAACAGGTTTGTCGGCTTCTACATCTGCACTGCTCACACATCTGACCAATGGAACAAGCAAACGCGAGCGCCTGTCGGGGGTTTACGGGCACGGCGTTTTCACACGACAAAGCAAATCATTTTATGAAAAGTGCGGTGATAAACTCAATCAACTTGCGAGAGTCAATACAATGGGTACTCACCTCACAAATATGGGAAGAAGCAGTCGGCTCCCAGCAGTCTTGCTTAACTTGCACGATCTAGCGTTTCCGTCGGTTCGGACAAGTCGGGAACGGAAAAAATCTCACACCCCTTCTCCAGATGGCTGTACATTGCAGCACGTAGCACCCTGGCATTCTCACTTCAAGGCTCTTGTAGTAGCACTTAGCGAGGATGGAGTCACAGCAGATGCTAGATCTAGAGCGATGTGGTAGACGCAGCTCATACCGTAGATTGCAGACCCGTACTGGTGGAGAGCGGCGGCGCAGGAACGCTTGGCCGCAAGCACAAACATGGCGCTTGTTGCCATGGAAACGGGTATTGGCAACATTGTGTTTTATCGGGGGGCGGCAAGTGGTGGGTCAAAGGCTGACACCACCCTAAAACACGGGAGTCGCGCGCACATGTGGGCTTTCTAATCGAAAGTTTCATACCGCTCATGCGTTCGAAAGAACCGAAAACGGCGTCTGAGAGCATGCAGCGTCTTATCAGCGAAACCCTCCGCTGCCTAGAACACAGAAAAGCTCACTGTGCCAACGCTCTCACGAATGCGGTTCCCGCGATCATGGACTCGATAGCCGAGGCCAACGATTACACGCAAGATCTGCGCGTCGACACTCCCCTGGTTTTCGACTCTGAAAAAGTGGTCCTTGCGTGCCGTGCGAATCACATTCAAAAAGACCTTTCGTTGACATAAACCTCACAACGCGAGCGGTCTGTTCTTCGAGACTCGAAAGCCACGACAGCGACTACTGGAACGCCGTTCACCGTCGTAAGTTTAGCGATAATGAATGAACTGCTTCATTGTGTGTGGCGAGCTTGGCAGCATTTCCGAAAAAGATCAGGAATATGGTATTGCCATGAAACTTGTGCTGACATGTGGACATGTGATGAGTGCAAGGAACTGAAATTCGTAGGGAGCTCGGCGAGAGGGCGGGGGGGATACGGCGCGTGGCTCTTTTTTAGATCAACGTGCTCGCGGTTCGTGCGGCACAGCAAACGAACAAACAGCATTGAATTGCATTTTTTTTCACCCTGAATGTTTCACAGAGATGCAAAGACACAGCATAATGATTACGTGAGAGTGAGAATGATTACTGTCTCGTCGAAGGCTGCCGTAGACGTTCCTGACGACTGCGCGAGCACAGTCAGAACGCTGTATGCTGATCTGAACTATGGAAACCCAGGAAACATCTGGTGTGCAATGAAAAAAAAAATGCACGAAGAATGATGACTACACTTCTGATGGCTTCTAGCATCATTACTGCACTGATTTACACCTTTACCTGTTGAATATACATGCTCGCCGTGTCCCTAAACCTCTTTTCTCGTTTTCTCAAAACATTTTTCATCACGTCCGAGGCCATTGCCCACAGTAGCTTTTGATCTAGTGGTTAGCTTTTGATAACTTTTTGCAGCATTTGAAAGCTTGTACATTGATGAGTGTAACAAGACCAAAAAATTATAATTTCATTGGAAACAGTGATTTAATTAGTGATATAATTCAGCAAGTTTCAGATTTCTGATGAGCCCACTTGTTAAGGCCATAACTCCTAAACCAATCAAGCTAAGAATAAAATTATGGTTTTCTTGCACTTCCTGTTCTTTACAGAACACTGTCATATCTAATTTGCAGCAATCTTTTATGAGAAAGCTGCCTGAACAATGGGCAGAACGTAAGTTTATGGAGCAGACAATATTTAAAATTTGGAAGTGACAGCTGAAAATTAATTGCATATTTGTTTTCAACTGTGAGAAATGCATATAACATAAAAATTTCAGCTTTAAATGCTCAAAATAAAGGGCCAGTAAACAGTCTCCGACATTTCTTTTACACCCCCCATACAAGCTCGGCAAATCGTAGATTAGACCGCAGTGATCACGTTTTCATGCTATTACAGCACTGCGCGACGCGCAGGGCCTCTATTTCAAAAAATAATTCCCGCGCATCTCTCCTATGCCTGACCAACCTCTTTGCACGCGCAGTGACGTCAACTAGGGGATCGGCGACGTGACGTAGCACGCAGCTTGCCGATTGGTCTAAATCAGGTGTGAAAAAACAGTAGTGAAGTCGACGTGAGTTCCTGTTTACACTCACAGCTACGAAACTGCCCTTTCTTTCTTGGCACTTCGGTGAAAGATTGAGCCTCGCAGTTGTCGCGGTGCACATGTTCACTGCTCGCTCAACTACAGCGCCTGTGTGCACGCACAGACGTACTTAATGTACGTTTGTACGTGCCGAGAAGCGTAAACGTGCCGAGAAACGCAAACTAAAAGCTTCGACACCGGGTGCTACACGATGGGGCCTTGCGCGCTGCATGGCTGAAGCGAATCGGCCATCCAGCGATGTACGTCGGGGACCTGCTCGTTTGTGGTCGACACACACGTGCACACGTGCTACCTGAACGCACGTGTGCAGCGACATGGTTGTTCGCGCGAGACGACTGCAAACGTGACCCTGTGGCTCGCTATGTCAGAACCCATGCTAGTGGCTGTACTCCTGTGAGATACGAGCACACTACAATGTTCAGTATAAGTGAGTGTCGATATATCAACCATCAGTTTATTTTTTGTGTTTTTATACGAGCTGCACTTGCAATCATAGCTCATATGACACACATATATAACGAACACTCAAGAAGTATACCTCTTCAGTTGTCTTAAACAGTGACACAGTGACGTTATTTCAACCGTGTGCTTGTTGCGCTATCAGTAATTTATCAGTAATTTGGTTTTGCTGTTTAATTTTAGTGAACTTCATTACATTGCAATAATCACTAGAGGCTGCTTTTTCTACATCTCAAAGCTGCAATGGGTTCTTTGCATGGAGAACTTCAATTCCACCTTTCTCATAACCGCCCAACTACACATGATGAAAAGTTCGTTAATTAATCTTGCCTAATTGCTGTTCTAAATTATGCCTTTAGCTTGGGGTCATAGGAATTGCTTGAGGCTCTGGAAGTAATTGTGAAGGCATCAAAAAATGTCTCATTTCCCTTATTGTAGAAGATCTTAAGCACATGTCTTAAAACATATAGTATAATGTTATTCAATTGGTAATCTGTACACCTTTTGTCTACTTGCACAGTATTCTTAAGAATTTGCAAGGAACTGCACCGGGTAATTTTAAGCTAAGCTGGTAGCTTTCAAACAAATATATATAGATACGTAAAAGCATGTATATAGATACTGTAAAATTGATTTGATTTGATTTAACTCTCCCATAAGTCGACCCTCCTTCAAAAAAGCACGCACACGAGTGCATTCTACCAACGGAAACTTGTTGACATCGTTGCTAATTGATCACTTCTCCTCCCTAGAACCATTATCAAGCCAGCCCTCGTCATGAACTTCGATGCAGCATAGGCTCTGCGTATTTATTCGTATAATGATCGCACTCCTGAATTTTGTTGTCAGAACATGACTTTTGCTTTATATCTTCCTTATAACGATCATATTACAACCTTGGTGCACAAAACCTATGATGCTTTCAGGTCCCCGCGAGCGAAGGCACAACCTCAGAGTTCCAAGACCTATGAAGTATGCTGCTAGACAAAGTAAGGCCTTCGAGATCTGCGTCTCTCACATAGAGTTGTCGACGAAGAGGTGCCTGGTTAATGTGGACTCATTGTCATTGTAGGTGCTTCTCTCGCGTGATCTAATGCTCATTGCATTGCTTGCATGTCTGCAGCGTATGTTTAGTATTTCTGGTGCAGCATTATTTGTGGAGATTTTACAGAGTGTGCTGCTGTGCTATCTTCCAGCAATGCCTGTTCCGATGCCTTTTCTGCCAACTCTCTCAAATTGTCCTGGAGACTCCCGAATTTTGACCTAATCTACCAATTGTATGAACGCGATCTCAAATCTCCCAAAATGTGGCCGTGCAACAGCTTACGCAATTTTTTTCAATTTTTTTTAATCACGTGTGTACGTTAGCCTTTCCTGCTGCGACAGTTGTGGTGCTGCATAAGAGCACTCGTCACTACACTTCTAGTTCATTTGAAGTATACCTAGAGTACCTCTAAGTGTATTCTAAGCACTGAAGTATCGCACATCTGGGCGAAGGCTGGTGGCCGCCAGACCTGGTTACCACCGTACCGAAAGAAGGCGACCACAACTCTAGGCCTATGTCGCTTCTCTTGTAATTGTTATGTGGTTTTGGGGAACTGTGTGTTTTTCCCGAGTTAGGTTGGAAGGTTGATGGCGATTTCAAAAGTATGTATGGGTTCTGTATACCACGAGCGCCTGTGATGTAAGTGTGCCGCAAAGTGGCGAGGCCGACACATAGGGTTGGATGACATCGGAAGTATCTTTCAAAAGGGCTGCGAAGACAGTGCAATCGGCGTAGAATGTCTATTCACGGGATTTCATGTGGAACGCAACGTGCTGCTGAGCCTAAGAGATCACGCAGGGCCATTGTTTCGAAAAATGCTCCCGAAGTTTGAGAGTGCGAAGCGGTGCGGGTGCGGATGCACGAGAACTGACATCGTCGGGAAATTACTGCAGATGCCGAAAACACAATGAGTGATGGCCCTGAACCACCGTGCTTTTGTAGTCGCAGTGTACAGAAGCAAAAACAGCGCGACACAAATATATACCCTCCTACCCACTCTACTGTGGTCTGTTGAATTTTCATCTTATGTTGGCTGGTATGCAAATGCTGCTTCTTGTTTTCGTTCTATTCATGTTAACTGGATTACCGTACTATATCTACCCGCGTAATGCACGCACTTGCATAATAAACGCACCCCCTACATTCATCCGCTGCAGTCCCATTGGCAGTCCCGCTAACCCTCACCTGGGGCCTCTTTCACCATTGGATCTTTTTTTTTCTTATTATTTTGCCGACCCTCTCCTCAGCCACCTCCGCTCGCTCCCTCCCCCCTTTGCCTGTTGCCGCGTACCGTATTGTTTGCAGCTGATCAGCACACAGCAAGCGAAGGTCACGAAACGGCCAGCGCCAACCGACGCGGGCATGCAGTTTCAAAAAGCTGAACTACTTGCGCGCGATTTTTGAGCGACGTTTACAGGATTTGCTGTCGCGAAGGGTCCTTCGTCGCTATCGCCTCGCAGGTTTATGGACAACCGAAAAAAAATCGCTTGTCATCCAGAAAACATCGTGATGATTTCCGCAACACGGTAGGGCCCTCAATTCTCGCTTGGCTTGTTATCCGCGCGTAGAGGAACTTCTAATGTAGAAGCGAGGCGGCGGCCGTATTTTGTCGTTAATCCAGTTTTCAACGGTTTGTTTTGATGTTTCGGGGGTAGCTTACTGCAATGTTGGTTACTTGCTACAAAGTTAACGGCGTCGTCATGGTCGTGATGCGACGTTGCAGCGAAATTGACAAAGTGCATTGTAGCATTGCAGCGCACGCTTCTGGGCGCCCCTTGAGATTGCCGCAAAACGCTTTTATGGCATGCGCAGGTGGCCCCCCAGGGAAAGCTTGCAGAAGATAGCAGCATCAACCACCGAATATCAGTGGAGTGCGACAAAGAAGCTCTTTCAAAACAGTGTAGGCGTATGTCAATTGCGAAAGGCTAAGCGACCTAACTTGTTTTGCATTACTGCATCTTTTTGCTCTTCCCGTAAAAGTTTTCATAAAATTTACTCCACGTAATGAGCGCAGCTCCCAACTTTGCTCCGATTTTTCTAGAAAAAAAGTGCGTTTGTAATGCGAGTAAAAGCAGTACATGGCTGTGAGTAGTGGATGAAAGACCAGCGTGAAACAAAAAGCATAAGACATTTTGTCGCAGTTGCAGCCCAGTGTGGGAGGATGTGAAACAATGGCTTCACTTTGGACAGTCATTTGCGCATGTACTTTTGCAAGGTATTTAGCTGTCTACGAGCCGGGTTAGTCTGTATTGTGCCAACCATGCTAATACAGCGGACTGGAACGCTATCGCACATTGATGACCGTACATGGAGTGATAACCTGACGAAATTATTGCCGAAAGTGATCACTTGCTAGGTGTTGGAGCCAACACTCTCATAGGCCGTAACAGCTCTATATTGTCTTAGGTCGTGGTACTACAGCTGCTCAAAAACCAACTTGGAACTCATTGAGTGTGACTCAATCAGCTGATGCTCTGCATGGTGCTGTCTGCCATTTTCTCAATTTTCTGTGGAACTGCAAAAAGGCCCCAACCATACTGGTGCTGGCCTCAACAATTAATCTTCTTTGTTCTTTATTTTATTTACAGAAAACTTGCCTTGCATAGTAATTGCACCCCCACATTTGCATCTGTACTATATTTAAATGCCAAGTGTGGTCATTATGTGACTAAATACAATAAGTGCATTCCTCTGTTTTAACGGTGTGGAATGCCAAGTATTTGTATATATCGCACATATTAATAAAATCTTGCTACTATTTGAAATGGCTCTCTTGTTGCTTTTAAGCACAAGCTTAGTTCCAATTCTTAAAGGTGTACTAACATAAAAAGTTTAGCGTGATCTCTTTTTGTGGAAAATGTTGCTGGAGGCCTATCAGTCATGACATGACGCATAACTTGACAAGGCACAGTGACAATTTATTGCAGCCTGTTTATCAACGACTAGTCTCAGTTTGGGTTTGGGCAAGCTTTAAGAACATCAAGTCATTGCGTGCAACTAAAGGCCATCTGGTGTGTTAAACAGCACATAAGACTGTGAGGCACTTTCCCGATGCCTGCATGGTCTTTGCATGCAGCATGCGCTGCGTAATGGCGTTGTTGTCACCTTCATCACTGTCACCTGGCGTCCACACGTTCACGACGGGCCCGGACTTGCGAGCAGCTGCCAAATGGTAGCCTGCTGGTGCTAGTACAGAAACAGCACAGTGGTCACTATGGTAACATGATTTAGAAGGCACCTCGGGCCTTAGCCGCTCTGGTGGTATCACGGTAGGTCCAGGCTTCCTTTGGTGTCACTTTGTACGATGTCGATGCGAGGTGGGAACCAGCCTACCTCGATTTTCGAACAAACTGTGAGAAAGTAGCGCTTGCGGCCGACATTGTCATCACGTCCTCTAAGCATGCTTTAATGGAATAGCATAAAAGAGCTCGTTTCATGAAAATTTTCATGTCAATATCATTGGTTGTGAACAATAAATCATCATCTTGTCCGGGACCACAATAACTAAAAAAATGTACAGAAAATAATAAATTATTCCAGGTTCGAGTGAGGATCAAACCCGGGCTGTCTGCATAGCAAGCAGGTGTTCTACCACAGGGACACGAAATTTGTTGAAGCTACTTTTTAAAAACGCTATATAAATGTATTCCAAAAGGACTTGTTTTTGGGCTAGTTGGTGCATACTTGGTGCAGAAGACTGAGGCGCAAAAAACATAACGTGAAGCAGGAAGAGCAGGAGAGAAGACAGAACGGCGCTGTTCTGTCTTCTCTCTGTTCTGTCTTCTCTGCCTGCTCTTCCTGCTTCACGTTATGTTTTTTGCACCTCAGTCTTCTGCGCTATATAAATGTCATGTAGTGGAAGGAGTCTCCTTAGTGCATCACTAATTGCGTGTCTAAAGATCTTAGAATTGCACCCGTCATCAAAAGATGTGAATTGATCAATGAGTCAGGGTTTCAAAGGCTCAATCATTACAAAGTGCTCATACATATTTAATAGTCATCAGCAGCGAAACTTATCAATAAAGGGGACAGCTGTGTAGGGTTCAGTGTGTTTCCCTATGATGTAGTAGTAGGCGTTTCACTGATTTGCTAAAGGAATAATTATGGCGTAGTGGGCATCTAGCAACTGTGCTTGCGGTAGGCATTCAGTGGTACTTTGAAATGGTGCACAGTTGTTAGTTTCTTATGGCAAGATTGAAGGATGCACTGAGAACCGAAGCAGGTTAAGAGCTCGCAAGGCAATGTACACGAGGCCCAAATACGCTATCGCGACTTAGACTTTGAAGGTGAAGCTCAAGTATTCTCTCATTTTTGTTCATCGCCCATAGGGGCATGCCACTCAAGAGTTCTTTGAGATCAGAGACTGTGCCTAACTGTTTTGAAGGCTGTGCAAGATGTCGAAAGTATTGGAGTGTCCGCCACATGTGGCGCTTACGACTGACACTTGTGAAGCAGAAGGAAGTTTGGCAGCTAGTTTTTCATTCATGTGGCAGGCATGTAATCTCAGAGGCAATGGTGCGGCATATAGCTCTGCATTGGGCATGCGAACTTTCAAATTCATATGAATAACCTTCCGGGCTGTGTTCAGATTTTGCAGACTCTGTGTGCACCTTAAAAAAATCAATCCTGCAGGCTGTCACAGCTGCGAAATGTTCTGTCTGTACCCTTTTAGAAATATTCTGCTTAATTGTTAAATCTTGAAATCAATGCACTTCTTTATTTTCAATGTGATCTGTATTATTCACACTATTTGATTTTAAACTATGTGAAAAAATTGGTACTTGCTCTGAACCCAAAATTTGCTATTCACTAATATTTAGAAACACATTAGTTAGTGGTGTATCCTTTGATGGAACAGCTACCTTCAGCTGTCAGTAATGCTGTGTTGAATTAAACTGCTAGTTTCCATTAACGAATGGCATGACGCTGCCAGATAGAGCAAGTGCACTGTTTCAGCCTATATATTAACTCTATGGAGCACATGGTAAATGCTAGAAAAAAAAAACATCCAAAAAAGCATGCAGGGTAACTATCTGTATTGGACGGAGCTAGAAAGGAAACTTTTTCTAGCTCCACTCTAGCACCTTTGACTTCTCATTTGTCATGCTTTTTCTGGCATTACACACTTCAATGTTGATTCTGAAGTGACAGAACTTCATAAAATATTCAGATTTAACTGTAGTTTACACGCTCTTGTGGATACGCGGTATAAAATTAAAACCTACATATGACAAATTGTGTATCGAATGTTTCTATCCTCTGGAATATATTTTTGATTTATAGTTGAGCCTACATATATCGAACTCACTAAGAATTGGGAATTAGGTTGATATGCAGAACCTGAAAGAACCTAGAAAATGTGGTTCATTTAACAGGAGTTCTGTTTACTCAGAGGTGAACTGGGTTGCAGCATTCAAGCATGAAACCAATCATATCAGAGGCAATTCCGTTCCAAGCAGCAGTTCAATTCAACAGATAACTATTTAATGAGTGTCTACTGGATCATTAAATTTGATATAATGCTTTCAATGGTAATTTTGGTGTGTTAGTGAGCTTCATGCCAAGACTTGCCAATAACACAAGGAAAGTGCCTTAGGTAATATCGGGGCATTTTTTCGTCTTAATTTAAACTTTCTTGCTGTTTGCAGTTAGGGGTGCAGGGTGGTATGCAGGGTGATATGCAAACGTGGGTTGTAGGCAAGAAAATATAGTATCAATGCAAACAGCATCACATTAGACATGTCGATTTCAAAATCTTTTGGCGTGGTATATAGTCTATAATAATGAAGCCTGTTTTAAATCTTGGTTATTCTGGCTTCTAGGCGACCATGCGTCACCACTGGCTGCCACAGGCATTGTGTGACATCAGTGTGACTTCATGCTAAGACAATTTATAAACACAGTGTTAGCTTTCTATAGCTCTAAAATAAAAGATTTGCAGTCAACCCCTTCATAAGAAACAAATGGGTATAAGGGAGACAAGTATGCCAGCAGTAAAGTTCGGGGGATTGGAAAATGCATTCGAGGTCCCCTGCATATAAAGAGACATCTCGTATAAAAGACAAGAATTGCTGCCTGGAGGATGCCTCTTATAAAGGGGTTTAACTGTATAAAAACCTAGAAAAGAATAGAATAACACAGCAATTTTTGCTCTATAAGTTGTGTAATGTGCAAAAACAGCAAGTGATCGCTTGGTTCTATCTTCAAGTACATTTGCGCTCAGTCACTTGTTGCTTTTGCTTGCTCGAGGCAGTGTCCCAGTTTTTTTCTTACTGGTTGTGTTCTACTGTGTGTTTTGTGTGGCTTAGTTCACGCTATGTTCACAGTGTGCATGGTGATACAGTGCCCCACAACCTGGCAAAGTGGAAAGAAGGTTTATGATGTCTTTACAGCGCCTAAACCGAGGTGTTATGATGCTACGAAGCTTTGTAAACTATGGCTCAGCAAATACCGCTTTGTCGCCATGATTTGTCGGGGACAGAGACTTTTTATTGGCTGACTTACTGACGTCAGCTGTATAGTTTAGAGGAATGTGAACTGGAGAATTGAAATTTTGCCTTTATAGCTATTGAATGAACCCAAACGATGAAACAAGCCAAGGTATAGATGCATGGACGATCATGATATTGAAGTTAAAATTTTTTGGGAATCGTTTCTTGACCCCTTTGATATGCAGCTGTGAGTGCATGTTGAGTGCTGGAACACCAACATTACCGTGCCATGGCCCTAATGCTGACGTTTTTTTGCAGTGTCGTACTCAGCATGTTTCTTGCATTGTTTTACGCACTGGCGACACAACAGAGATTTCTCTATGTTCGACTGCATTGAATATCGGCAGCTTTGTAGAAAACAGCCGGGTTCTTTTGTTGGATGGCAGCCCTTGCATTAACAAAGGGAGCTGAGAAGCAAACGGTGACACCACGCACATCTGCCGCAAAAAGAAATTGAGGGAGAGTGCACGCAGTGGTAGGGGATAGTTTCTACTTGCGTTGAGCGGCACCCTTGTTAATGAATGTGGGGAAGTCCCATATCACGAGAAAAAAAAGGTAATTATTTGTGTGGAAAAGGCAACTTTTGGGAGCTTGTCCCTCTGCTTGATGTTTTATATGTGGTGTGTTCTGGCTATATTTCTTAAATGTAGCCTTACATTTTTCTACTCATGAACATGTAGTGCCATCATCACCATCATCATTTTTTCCATCACCGCGCCGCGTCTCGCGCGCAGCTGGCGCGAGCTCGAGCTGCGCGAGAATTAGAACGAGCTTCTGGCCTGGCGGTTTGGACGCTGGTAGTCGACGTGGCTCCGCTTCAGGCCTGCAATAAAGTGGCGAGATCGGCACGGCCCCATCGGCCGCCTTCGACGTCATCTCACGCCTCCTCTCTTCTACGCCGCTACATTGGTGACCCGGAGAACACGCCCTTCGCCTAGCGGCCCGCGGCCATGTTCCCGCAACTCTGCCCGCCAGTGCCACCGTTCCAATCGACCTACCCCAAGGTATGGTTCATGCAGCTCGATGCCGTTCTGGCGCTGAATGGCGTCACGGACCAGCTGCAGATGCACGCCATTCTTCTCGACGCCCTCCCGGTAGAGTTGCGCCATCTCGCTGCCACTTCAAGCACCAGCCCGCAGCCTTACGATGCCCTCTGCACTGCGGTGCTCGCCCGCAGCGGCAACACATACCGTCCGCTTCCGTTTACCCGCACCAGGCAGGTTTCCCCGGCGTCGCAGAGCAAGGTACGCACGCAAGCGCACGCAGAGCAAGCGACGGCACGTGACACCGTGGCCCTCGCCGTTTCCGCGACCACCAGCTCAGACGTCTCGGCCTCCCCCTCGCCGCAGCTGCTGGTCAGCTCCTCGACGGTGCCCCCTGCCGCTCCGCCACCTGCCACTGGTGCCAGCAATGGCCTGCCGGGTGCCTCGCCACATTCCACTCGCACCTCCCCGGCCAGCAGCCGACCACCCTCGGCGTCCCCGCTCCCCGCCCCTGTGCAGCGGCGACCACCCTCGGCAGCGGCGACCACCCGGTCCCAGTCTCCTCGGGCAGCCCAGCACAAGGCCACACCGCGGCCCGCGCCTGTACCGGCGCCGCAGCCTGCGACCACGGTGCAGCGCGGAGCCGCGATGGGGCTCAACACGGGGAGTCCGCTGCTCATCGGGAACCCCGCGGCAGCACAGCCGGGCATGTTTCCGGCTGGACCTGCGCACGGCACTTTCCTGCTGAACCAGTACATTCCGGGCCTGGGCCACAGCCCGATTCTGATACAAGGCACACTGGGGCAGACCCAGAGCTCTCTGGGACAGATACAGGGGGTCCAGCTGGCCCTGCGGCCACCCCATGCCACGGGCCTGACCCTGGGACCTCAGACGGGGCCCAGGCCCCATGGGGAACATCCAGGACCGCCTGGCACCCCAACGCTTGTCATTCCACAGAACCTGGGGCCAAGGCCCAACATCTTTCTGGCACTGCCACGCATGATGTCGCCCCCCTCGTTTGCCATAGTCCCGGGACAGCCACTGACGCTGCAACAGCTGCAGGCCATGCTGCCCACGCAGACCATGCTGCCCACGCAGACCATGCTGGCCCAGCCCACACTGGGTGCGTTCCAGACAGGCCAGCACCAATCCCTGGTGCAGATACCGACGTTCACCCAGCCGCAGATACTGGCGCATGCCCACCATCACCACCACCACCACCGCCATCATGGGGCCCTGTCGGGACCTCTAATCTCGACAGGCGTCAGTATAGTGTCCTCTGCACCCAGCGCCGACATTGTCACCCACCATCCTGTCATGACCTCGCGACACACGGTCCACTCTAAGCCTGTCCGACCAGGTCACCGTGAGACCCGCTTGTCGGCTACCACAGCAACCTGGCACTTCCTCCTGCGTCCTCTGCGCAACTCCCAGTGTCGCCCGCCAGAGACCGCTGCCTACTGATGGCCCATAAACGTTGACAACCTGGACTGGCCAAAGAACACTTTATGGATTGCCGTTCATGTACATAGCATTTGTCGCCCTCTTTCTTTTTTTCATATGCGTTCAAATCGCGCAAAGCGCTAGGGGGGGAGCCCTGTAGTGCCATCATCACCATCATCATTTTTTCCATCACCGCGCCGCGTCTCGCGCGCAGCTGGCGCGAGCTCGAGCTGCGCGAGAATTAGAACGAGCTTCTGGCCTGGCGGTTTGGACGCTGGTAGCCGACGTGGCTCCACTTCAGGCCTGCAATAAAGTGGCGAGATCGGCACGGCCCCATCGGCCGCCTTCGACGTCATCTCACGTCTCCTCTCTTCTCTCGACGCTACAAACATTTTAAAACATTGTGTTCGAGAACAGTTCGATATAAGGATAAAATTCACACGTGTTCAATATAGTCAGGTTTGGCTGCATAAAACATGCTGGTATTTATGAAATCGCTTTTTTTTAAACTGTCTTGTGGTTGGTTCCCTTGAGATATGACTATTCTGCTTTTTGTGGTGTGTTTTCCTTACAGATGGTCCTTACTGGAATGGAACTTGGGGCAAACACATCAAGTGCTTCACCTTTGCAGAGATCAAGGGCTTTCAGAAGGTATGTTGCTCAACCTTTTTCTTGGCCTTTATAGCTTTCGTTTCATTGTGTTGTTTGTCTGTCCAGCTGCTACTTGCGGGCATCAGGGATGCTTTTAGGAACCCTTGCATGATTCTAAGAACCCTAGCATGCATTGTTGTAAGAAATCGCATATTGGAATAGATGGGATCCAGGCTAGGGATTTCACTGATGTCATGTGTTGTATGGTTACCTAAACTTAACAAAGCCACAAAACTTGCCAATTGTCTTCATTTTCTAAAGTTATATTTAAGTTGAACATTATGCGCAAAGTGTACTCAATGGTGGGTTTGTTTTTTATTTTCACATATGTGTCAGCGATTGGCAGTAGAAAAAGTCCAATTTCAGAAACACAAAAAAGTTTAATTTAACCTTGGAGTTATTTACTTTCTTTTCAATTTGAGGTTGTGCCAATGAAGTTTACTTCACAGTGTCTGTACTGCATTCAAAAGGCCAAAATAAACACATCTGGAGCACTATGATTTATATTAAAAGTTTGTTAATTTGACCTGTATAACATTAGGAAGAACTTGTACTAGCAGTGAACTCCCCAAAAGTTCTCATTCGTGGTAAAAGCAGGCGTTTACGGGGATTTCAGTGGGAAGTTATGCTTTTCTTCAATGAGCAAAGAATGTATAGTCTTGACTTTGTAATAAGAGAGAGCAAGCTCTGTGCTAACTTCAGGCAAGCTGCCAAGTCCTCTTCCTTGCTAATCAAGATTGCTTGAAAGATAACCTTGCCAGTGGCATCCATTTTCTGAGCTATTGAGATCACTGTTGTAACTTTGTGCAAAATGACATGACGTGGTCCCCTAAACTTTGTTCGAAGAGGAGATTTTTAATGTCACATTGGGCTATTCAAATGGAAGCTAGTTAGTGCGAATGATGAGTACGGATTTCGCGGCTCCCTCTAAGTTCTAGCAGTGGAAGTGGACTATGCAAGAATGAAAACTGTACATTTTACTGCGCGGATCATGATGATTTTTCGTAGATGCATCTTTCAAGGTTTCTTTTTTTTTTTTTAAAGGGAGAATCTCTTTCTCGGGGACTGTTTCTGGTTTATTGTAGGCGAAGAGCATGATTTCATGTGATCTTAAGCACTGTTGTTACCTGAATATGTCGGTATTTTGGGCATGCATCTCTGTTTGGCAACATTTATCCCTGAGTGCGTCAATGTGCATGGTATTTCGCAGGTGAACCACTTTCCAGGCAGCTTTCACCTAGGGCGCAAGGACAAGCTGTGGCAAAATGTGGTGCGGCTGGGGCGTATCCGTGGTGAAAAGGGACGCCCCTCGCTGCCAGACACGTTCCTCCTGCCCCAGGAGTTGCCCCTGCTGAGGGACGCCTGGAGTGCTGAGACTCCCGGGGATCACTGCTGGATCATCAAGCCGGTGAGCACTTTCTCCTAGACCTGTGTTAGATATGTACTTGAAGTAGTGGATGGGTGTGGATATTTTACAGATGCAGTCTAGCATTTTATTAACAGTCAAAGGTTAATTTAGGTTGCAAGCAAACTAAATATTGTGATTAAAAGAATGTGAAAGCTTATGTGCACTTGGCTGTGCGTAGTGTTTGAGGCATTGAAGCAAAGTTTTAATCAAACTTTGGACAGCTTGAGAAGTTGGACTTGAGAAGTAGTCATTGGGTAGGCGGCATGTGCCATGTAGTAAAGTAGCCGCGATACACAACCCTGCCAAACAATTCAGACTGACCCATATTATGCGCGTAAAGTTTTCTCCTACTACTGGGACATGCTGTATTTAATTAAGATAGATAAGGTAGCTTATAAATGTTGTCGACCAAGCTACATTGAGCAGTACATTTATGTGTTTCAACAGACCATTTAGCTTGTTCTACATGAAATTGCACGATTTTTCTAGTATGCTTTCAGAAAGCTTGTGTAGGCTGTTCAAGTTACAAGTCGTGTCTGACCATATATAATCGCGGTAATTTATCAACAACACCACGCACTGCAGTGGACGGTGTGTCCCAGCATTCCGGTATCTTTGTTCTCTTTCTCGACCACAGCAACAGTTCATGTTTGATGATATGCCTAAGTTGAGTGTGAAGCCTCGCGTTACCGCAAATTTCATGGAGGACAAACCAGATGTCGAGCACAAAGAACCAATGATCAAACCCTGTACTTTATCAACTGTCCCTGAACTAGGATCCTTGCGGTTCTCTCCACAAAACGCAAACATAGGCACTTCACCATGCAGCGAAGCCCAAGGTTCTGAAAGCACAAGCGTGATCAGAATACCGTATTTACTCGATTCTACCGCGCCCTCGATTGTAACACGCACCCGGTTTTCACGACGAAAAAAAAAAAAAGTAAGACATTGATTGCAACGCGCACCCATTTTTCTCGTTGGCCTGCATGATCACACCACTCAGGAAAACGACTCCTTTCGAGAGCGTCTTCCTGTTGGAATATGAGGTACGGGGAAAGCTTGTGCCTATCTGATGTGCAACGGAGCATTGCCGTCATTCTAGTTTTCACCGTGGCCCGATGTCAGCACGCGAACTTGCTTCGCCCCCTTCTTCTCGACAGTTGAGGTGTCAGGCATGTCGAAGTAAAGAGGCTCTGATCGGCATTCCCGATTTGCCCAAGCAGGTAGCCGTTGTTGTGCCGCAAGTTTAGGAGGAACCTCTGAAGACTCTGAAGCTTTTCTTCGTACTCCTCCGGCAACTTCCGGCATATGCCTGTTCGCCTTCGTAGGGAAAAGCCTTTCCTCTTCATAAAGTTAGTTAGCCAGCACCTGCTCGCTTTAAACTGGCTCTGCATTAGTCCTTTTTCTAAGGCTAACTGCATAGCCTGCACTTGGAGCAGTTCTGTCGTCACGGGCCGCTGTGCCGCTCACTGCTTAATCACATACTCGCCGAGCAGCTCTTCAATTTGTGGAAACCGACCCTGCTGTAGTCTACTGAAGCTTTTGCGTAAATCTTTGCTGTCGACAATATCCTGCTTTTGTTTCCGCCAGTCCCGCACGCACGTTTCGGGAACTCCAAACGACCGCGATGCGGCCCGATTTCTGTCCGTTTCGGCACACGCGATGACTTTTCCTTTAAAAGCAGCATCGTGGTGCACTCGTCGAGTTTTTCGAGTCCCCCCTTCCATGCCGTCGATGCTAATGCACTACAAGATGACGAACTCCTCAGCACACATACGAAGTGCCGCACATGGGAAACACATAGGCAGAAATGGCCGACGCACCATGCCGACGCACGTAGGGGGCGGCCATTTTGGAAATGCCGATGGCAATAGAATGACCGTATTCATTTTTTTCGTACTCGATTCTAACGCACATGCGATTTATGAACTCGCTTAACCAGAAAAAATGTGCGCGTTAGATTCGAGTAATTACGGTAGTGTTTCTGAATAGTAAACAGAGTGCACAAAAATGTTACACAGATTGCGCTTCGGTACTGCACTGAAGCGCCAGGGAAAGTCATATTCATTCACAAATACAGAGAAGCTACCCCTGCACCAATTGAATCAAATTGCACCAAGTGCCCTGGCTGCTACATCCTGCTACATTCCTAAAAATTTAGCGACTCTGTGCCCAACCTGCGCCAGAGGGCGTATGCCAACATTTGGAAACGAAACTAACTTCTTCTGGTCCTCCAATTGAAAGTGACACCGTGGTAGAAACAACTTTATTTATACACTGAAGAAACTGCCAAGTTCAGTCTTTTTCCTTTTTCCAACTGGCAGCCGTGTATTCTCCCGACCTCGCTCGGCAACGGGCATCCCTATCAAAATAAAGTTAGTTCTTTTGTTCAACCAAAACGGAGCAGTCGGTCCTTTTCTGACCTGCGATAGTTTCCTCATACACAGAGGAAAAGCGGTCAGGTTGTGCCTAACCTGATCGGCTCGTTGTGTCGCCCGGAGCTGTATCTCGAGACCTGTAATAGCCAAGACAAACTGCGCCTAACGTCGTCATTGAGCACGATGCAGTGAATAGCCCAATTTTTTCAACTGTTTAGACACCACGAAATCCTCCAAAAAATTGGGGTCGAAAATACAAATTAAGGCTTTTCTATTCTGCTCACGTGGTCTAATCACCGCAGCCACCTCTAAAATATCCTTAATGCTTCCCAGCATGCTTAATAGGTATTTTGGCGCACGCCCGGGCTCTCATGAATGCATTCTGAATTAACTACATGTAAATGCAACTTGCTGATTTGCACCAACCACGATACTAGCTTCATCACGAGCGATGGCGCTACTACGCAAAGCGTGGAATCAAAGAGGGGATGATTTGTGGGGTCTCTGATGCGTGCATGCACCTAGACGATGCGCTATTACATGAAAATCTCCACCGACACGCGAAACTTGCTGCCGTGTGAAGCTGATCACTCCTAATTGTGTGCAGAACAATGCAAAGTAATCTTATACTGTGACTGCCGAGGCGTTGCTGTACAGTATGCATGTGTTTGCCGTGACAGTGTTCTTGATGCCCACTTGGCTCCTGACCCACGGGGGCACGGCGATGGCCAGCCTCTTTCGTTTGTAAAGGTAGTGTGTCTCTGCGGCATACTTAGCGGTCTCGCTCAATAAGGCAGCATAAAGAACTATGGTGTGGCGCATTTGGGTTGTCACCTATTAAAACCATGTAGTAGGCTCACAATAATGCTAGGCGACATGCTCTATCGAGCACTTCGATGAAAATGTTTGTCGTGAAGGGTTGTCAGTAATTAGTCGCACTGTTGCGTTTGCCACCAGTTGCTATCACACTTCCGAATTTCTGGTGCTGATCCATAAAGGCATCTTCCGCACTGCACTCTGATAATGGCCCCTTCGGATTTTTGGTCTGCTTCATTGAAGCATTGCGGTAAAGCTGACTTTTGGACATTGGCTACAACAGCAAACATGTCAACTTGTGAAAAGGCTGACTCGAGCATATGAGCTACTAAAGCGGGCCTATAATTTATTTATTTATTATCTATTTATTTTATTGATACTGTAAGCCTTGACAGGCTCATACAGGAGTGGGAAGAAATTATACAGATTGTCATCTTCACATTAGACCACAGAACAAAAAAAAAAAAAATGAATACGGGAAAAAATAAGAATGAACAGTACAGACTACTCTAAACAATTACAAATTACAACTGTACATCTAGTCGAGAACCAAGAATAAAACAGAATAAAACACCACAGGCTAACAGGGAAGAAGTGCATATTAGACACAGATCTGAGAATTGAAACATCGAGTGCAGTACAAATCAAAACGTACGTCATAAAAGTTGCGCCATTATTCTACAACGCTGCAACTTACTGATCCAAAAACTTTTCAGATTGGCAGTGAATGATGTCGAGAGATTCTGAGACACTATATCACATGGCAGGTTATTCCATATTTCTATTACGGACGGAAAGTAGGAATACTTAAATGAATTGCACGGGAGATGAAGGCCTGATACCCTTGTCGTGGTTTGTTCTGGCGGAGCGCTGATATGGTGGTTTCAAGTACTCGTGTTTGTTGATGTTAATGTTGTCATGATAAAGCAGATAAAGAAATTTTAATGCAGCTATGCGTCGCCGGAACGCCAGTGTTTGAATGCTTGCCCTGTTGCGGAGCGTGGTTATGTTGACATCTCGAGAATACTGAGAATACACTAATCGGAGCGCTTTATTTTGATTCCCTCCAGCTGGTTAAGAAGGTAAGTTTGATGCGGATTCCAGATTACACTGCCGTATTCGAGGATTGGTCGTACAAGGCATTTATAACTTGTTAGTCTAACTTTGGAAGGGGCTAGAGCGAGTTTCCTGCGAAGATATCCCAGCTGTCTGTACGCTTTTGTGCACGTCTAGTTAATGTGAACATCCCATTTTAATGTGTTTGTGATGGTAACGCCCAAATATTTCACCGAAGCGGCCTCTGCTACGTGTAGTCCATTTAAATGATACGCAAATTTTAAGGGTGCTCTCTTTCGGGTTATATGCATATACGAGGTTTTTCCTACGTTTATTTCCATTCCCCATTCTTGACACCATCTTGAAATGTTAGTTAGGGAGGTATTAGGCCGTAACTGATCGTCGATCGCTCGTACTGTGGTATAAATGACACAGTCGTCAGCAAACAGTCTAATTGTGACGTCAGGTTCAACATGACAATGAATGTCATTAACGGAAATTAGGAAAAGAATCGGGCCTAGCACAGACCCTTGTGGGACCCCCGAGTAAACGTCTAACTCTTCAGATTCAGCGTCGTTTACTTTACCGTGCTGACTGCGGTTTAACGTGCTGACTGCAGTTGGCATTGTTTCGGGCATGTGGGCTGGAAGTTCTAACTGAAACACTTCGGTGCCAGAAATTTAAGACCTTATTACACATTGGCTTGTGACAGTCCCGTGAAAGTTCCTAATTTTCATGCATATCTGAAAAATTGGGCAGCTGGGAAACTGCATTTGTGGATATTTAAATGGCCTGAATGGGTGCTGCTGGCTGAACACCAACACAGCCACAAGACGTCACTAAGACACTTGCTGCAGTGACCAAAGGCAACCGAGCCAACTTTGGAATTCACAAGTCCAGAAAACGTTCCGTGTGTTCATCGTATAACAAGTGTAGTGACTACTTTTATGCATGGGACGGCGCCTCAGGGCGTTCTTTACTCTTGGGCTTATACACCAACTACCCGTATGCAAAAATGCTCACACTCTTAAACGGCCAAGTAATTCTCAAGGAAAGGATTTAAATCATGAAAACAGTTTCCTCTGGTCACGGGCAGTATTTTAAAAAGCGTTAGGTCGACAAGCTCAACAAGCCAGGTGTTTTCTTTTGTGTTGTAGATAAAACACCTTGTGTAACACAGGTGCAATCACTAGGTTTGTGTGATGTATAGTGTACAAGTATGGACAAACTCATTTGGGATAATCATGTCATCTTGAGTAATTTTATTATGAAGTGCTGTGGTTCTTATATTACCATTGCATTCGTCCACTAAATACCGACAGCTTAGCCACGGGTATTGATAAATCTGTGTTCTTCCATAGTTTATTATGCTTAGCATGCAGCACATTGTGCTTTTATCGGTCGTCTGTCATGAATGCAGTACATGTCTTGAATTTGCTTTTAGCAATACCTGCTCATAAAGCCAGAATTACTGCTCTATAATGCGCTTTTACCTGCTATGAAGCAGCCTAAGCCATTAGCATCACCGCGTATATGAGGTAGATTCTGGTAAATGGCTATGTGACCAGAGGGCACGACTCCAAGGAGACTTGGGGTTTGGGATGTCCACCGAAAAATGACTAGCAGTTACATAATTTCCTCTTTTCAGGTATTATAAGTAAGGATGCATCTATCCATGCATATGTTGATTCTATTAAACATGTAGTACAGCTGGTCAAGCTTAGAGACAGATATTTATGTTAGGAAATGCTTACTTGGTAACTGCTTTAAAAGGTTGTTATGCTGCACTTAAGTGGCCTATGCTTTACAGCAAATGATTGTTTCCCTTTGGTGAGCACACTGGTGATGAGTTTCACATAGCCAAGGCATTTATGATGAGCGTATTGTGAAAGAGAATGGAGTCCTTCCTCTTCACAATGTCTTCCATGTCCTTGTGTGTAGCCTGCATCAGCAAGAGGTGCAGGTGTGCACGTGGTCCACCGCTGGGACCAGATACCCAAGAAGCAGCCGCTGGTGGTCCAGAGGTCAGTGGAGTCTCAATATTTGTGTGGCATTACACCATTCTCTTGCATGCGAGTTTGACTTGTTGCCCATGACTTGTTTAGCTGCACTTTTCAGTATCTTCTGTGAGCAAGGGTGCAATAATCGTTCTCACTCAGGTATGTGCGGACGCCGTACCTCATCAATGGGACCAAGTTTGACCTTCGCCTGTATGCGCTGGTGACCAGCTTTGACCCCCTAAAGATATACCTGTTCCCCGACGGCTTGGTCCGCTTTGCTTCCATGAAGTGAGTGACATACTATTGCACAGGAATGTCACTTAGGTTAGAGTAAGTTTGCCTTGAAGTGCGTGTACTAAAGTGCTTGTTGTGACTGCGATGGTTCTTAAGAACTGTGAGGACAAAATTTTGTACTCCTTGTCTGAGGCTCCTTTGATAAAATCAAAGGTCGTTGGGCGGCAGTGCTTCTCGTTTATTTTATTTTTTCATTACTTCTATAAAATCTAAGCCGCAGGCTATCTCAAAACTCTTGAGCTCAATTCTACTACTTGTGGCATCTAAGGGGTTATGCTGTTTTAGCTGATTGTGCAGCTTTACAGAGCAAAAAATGCCTAGGGATTCACAATGTCAATTGATTGGAAGCTTTTTTTTTATTGTAGCTGTGCTTTATGAGGAATTGTCTCTTCTCAAGAGCATTAACACTACTGTCTGTTTTAATGAAATCTTTGTGGCGCAACTGAAACAAGGAAGGAAAATGAGAGGAGACAGGATAGGGCACCCTATCCGACGAGACAGGATAGGGCACCCTATCCTGTCTCGTCTTGTGTTTTTTCCTCAGTCTCGGTTGCGCCACAAATATTTTGTACACCTGTCTATGCTGTGTGGGTGTCCTTGTCATCACAGCAGACCACAGCTCGTGATTTCATATCTATATACTGTGGCATGAGCGATACTCCTGCAAAAGCAAGCCACCCATTTCTATTTGCTATAAAGAATTGGCTTTTCTATGAGGCGTGGATTTGTGCACGTGTTGACCACTCTTTGATGACACTTCTGTATTAATTTTGCTTCAAGACATGCCTGCCTATTCTGTTTTTATTAGTCACCGTAAATGCCCTGCTTCGTTACACAGAATGTTTGCCTATAATTATTTTCGCAATGTCCATAGACTGTCTCACCACCAAGCAAAATTCAAGGGCATCACTCTCGAAGGTGGTCAGTAGGCAGACACTCCATTGTTGGGCTGTGCTAGGCTTAGTGTTAGTGTGTTTGCAAGAAACAGACACTAACCACATTGCATGTTTCGTGCATTAGTGAATAAACCGAACCGTCTACGAGACAATAAATCGGATTAATTCTTGCGAGACGTGACATTTTCGTGAAGGGAATAGCGAGTAGAGCACTGTGACTGGCTAACGGCCTACAACTGCGGTAAATCCATCGGGCTGGTTTTGTACTGATTACCTCGGAGTGATATTCAGTTCATACATAAATTTTAGTTCTCCAAGTTTTCTGTAGCACGCGCAGAATTATACAAGGCATTGTTGATGCACAGTTGATTAGCTGACACTTCCACCCTTCACATTGCGGCAAAAAATGAGGTAGCGAAACATTTAGCTGTTTCTATCGTTTGGTAAAGTACTTTGGTCCGATACGTATACATTCATCTGACGATCAAGAGTTCTTCCGGTGAAAGCGGCTGGGGAGTAAGTCCGTGTGTCCTATCATTTCTTATGCATGTTCACAGGTTGACTATTCTTTGGCAGCCATCTTGGATTGCATGGCGCGTCGCCTATAATCTGTGGGCATTGCGAATCACTCTGTTTTGTTCAAAGCACTTTGTACCAGTGTATATACATATAGCAGCAGATGACTGGCCCTATCATTTGTTTGCTATTGAAGTCCCTCAAGTGATAATCATGAAACTTGCACCTATAGGTACTCTCTGGAGTGTGAGGACTTGAGCGATCGGTACATGCACCTGACCAACTACAGCATCAACAAAAAGAGTGCTACGTACACGGCCGGTGGAAGCGGGGACTGCGAGGGTCACAAGTGGTATGAGCGTTTCTTTATTATTTTCGCAGTTTTCAGTAGTTATCTAACAGTCTGGTTACATGGACAGTTTATGGAACTGAGTGGAAGGCAGAGCATGTTGTAGGTACCCTGGAGGAAAGAGTTCACATGTTTATTTCAAGACACATTTGTGCAGGCTTGTGTGAATATTCGAATGCTTCGAATATTCCTACGTATATTGCAGTATTCAATTTCACTTCAATTCGAATTTAAATGATTGAAAATATTGAACTACTCTAAACATACAAACAAGTGTATACAGTTAAGCCTGCTTATAACAAAGCTCTATATAACAAATTTCTTAATATAGAGAAGTTTTTCTCATCCCTGCTATTCGTCCATAGAAGCACATGTATTTGCGATAGAAGCACATGTATTTGCGACCTCTATGTAACGAAGTACCAGTGGGAGACAACCTTGATACCATAACGAATTTTCTAGGCTTGTGCGAATATTTGGATGCTTCAAATATTTGAACGAATAGGTGAGTATTCGAATTCGCTTCGATTCAAATTTAAATTATCGAATATTTTCGAAGTATTCGCAATAAACAAAAAAAAATGTACATTAGTCTACCTGTAAAGGTGGTTTCACTGCAGTGTAGTAATGCAAAGCAGTGAAAGCACCTACTCAGAAGAAATTTGCTTTGCCGCGAAGCCCCCCCTTTAGAATTAAAGGGGCCCTGCAACATTTGCTGAGCATGGTCAGAAAACGCTGCCGATCGGTAGTAGAGGCTACCGAGAATACACGAGGCAAGTATTATTGCGCAGCACGCGGCCTGAAATTCACAATAAATTTTCAAAGCTAAAAATTACTCTCTTCCCTCAGCAAATGACACTACAAGCTCAAAAATCACTTGTCAGCAGCCAAGAAAGAAAATACAGGCTCTGGTCACACTCATCGGCTAATTTGAGCATGGTGCGCTCGTCGTTATCGGACCGCCGCGTGAGGCAGCCACTTGTCCACAAGTACGCCCCGCTGCAGTGGTCTAGTGGCTAAGGTACTCGGCTGCTGACCTGCAGGTCGTGGGTTCAAATCCCGGCTGCGGCGGCTGCATTTCCGATGGAGGCGGAAATGTCGTAGGCCTGTGTACTCAGATTTGGGTGCACGTTAAGGGGGCACACTGGTCTTAGAAACTTTTTTTTTGCTTTCCAACCAATTTTAATGAAACTCCATGGGCTTGTTCAGTTTTTTTAGCTGATTTCAAATATCCAATTAGTTTTGATGTAAGCTAATTAGTTCCCGAGATAATTAAAAATCCTTGCGTGATTGTTCTTGAGAACAATAGAAAAAAACTAGTCAACAAAAAATTACCAGCATGGCATGAATAGATACTAGAAGTTGTGGAGAATGAAATGACGGAAACGGTTTTTTTGTCTGGCAATCACACATGCAAGTTTACATCAATTCTAATTTCTCGGTTTAAAGTATGCCTGCTAACCAGTTATTTAAACAATTATTTAAACGTGAAATGCAAAATCTGTTTCCCTTACTTCAAGGTTTAAACATTCAGCTTGACAATGCAAAAGAAATTATCTTTCTAGCTGCACCGCATGCCGAGATGTACCTCTCAAGAATTTCCTTAACGTCAAAAATATGCATTTTGAGAAAATGGCAAAAAACAAAACGGTGCCATGTTTAATGTAAACGGTAAAACATTCTGTACATTTTTGGAGCGAAATGACTAGTAGGCCCCAGAAGCATAGTCCCTTTGACTGCTGGCATCCAGGTGCCGCTTCTTGAGCGTCCGCTGCACATTTTCTGCAGACGCACGCCTGAGGGTAGAGTCCCTGGTTCGGCGGCGGTCTTTTTCAGCCATGCGTTTGCTACTCAGTAGGCCGGGGTTCAAGCACAGCTCTTTGAGGATCTTGGATGATGTTACTTGACTTCCGGCATTAAACCTCATCACTGCCTCGGCGACCGCAGCTTCTACACTGTGCAGTGATGCATGGCGCTCCTTCGGGGCCAGCGACCAAATCACAGAGTGGAGACTTTCATTACTGTTCTGAGTCTTGCCTCGCTGGCAGCGCTCCAGCAGCTTCTTGTCCGCCAAGTGTTCGTACACTGGAAGCTAGGCCTCACAGACATGCGGCGGCAGGTTGTAGCGGTGTTTGGGGGCCGGCTCATCCCTGGCCTTGGCAGCGTTCTGGTGGCACCACGAGTCAGGACCTGTAGGGCACAGGCTGTGGTTGGACACGGCATCGTTGGACGTCACGTGGTGGTATGTGGCCATCACAGCATTGTGCATGGCTGGCACGTCCCCTTTGTGAGATTTGATGGCCCAGCCATAGTAAGAGGTCAATTTGTTAACCAGGTCACCAGTCAGCCGCCCCCTACCACTGAGGCTCTCAGAGCCAGCTGGACTCTGCTTGGGGAGATTGCGCAGTTGCGTGCCCATCCTCTTCTGGACGTGGTTCACACATTCCTCTTTGGTTACCTTTGTAAAACCATACACATCTGCTTCCTTCAAAGCAGGGTAGGTGCGGCAGTCGCCATCAGAAAGAACTGTAGTGTATCTCAGCTTATGACGCTCCCACGACCTCTGAAACAGAATGAGGGCAGCTTCCACTTCCATCTCTCCAGCTTTTTTTGTGCTGTTTTTCTGGCAGTGGTGGTTCGCTTTCCACTCGTCGTAGGACGGGTCACTTTCTCTAGGCGCCCGCTCGCAGCCGGCACAAAAATTGCAGAGCACGACATAATCGAGCACAAGCCCCGTAAACAGCTCGATAACTGTGCCGACCTCGCCGCTGGCCACGGAAGGTGGGTCGCTTGCTCGTTCAGCGCTCCTCGCTGACGCGGAACGGCCTTTGAAGTTCTTGAGGAGCGACTTCTTTCTTTTTTTGTCGTACTGATTTCTTGTGTGGAATTTCCTTCCGGCTTTCCACATCGCGCTCGATCCTTGGCTAATCCGTCGTTCTCAGTCCGAGCAATATGGCGCCTGACTGCGCCGCCGACGGCGCGAAGCAGACGACACACGCCGCTTGCGGCCAATCGCGTTGCGCTGTTTAGTCACGTGCGCTTGCCGGCGAATAGGAACGCGTATTTTTGCTTTTTTTGGCGCGTTTTCTACTCTACCTATGAGCGGACATGAGCCAGAGTGGCGGGAAATTGAAGACCGAAGACCGCGCTTTCAAATGAGACCTAGACCACTGCGATACTGCCCGTGGCGCAGCTGCGGGGAATTATTGAAAAATTGCCATTTTGGCGTCAGAATCTCGCCAAATCGGGCTCGTACGGCTTTTATAAGTAGCTGTTACTGTTCAAGTACCAACTTTTCGGAGGAAAAACTGAGCAAACTAATAGAAAAATACCTGTAGATTTCAAAAATGACATTTTAAAAAAAATGCATTTTTGGGCAATTTTTCGGCCCCAAAGACCCGTGTGCCCCCTTAAAGAACCCCAGGTGGTCGAAATTTCTGGAGCCCTCCACTACGGCGTCTCTCATTATCATATGGTGGTTTTGGGATGTTAAACCCCACAAATCAATCAATCAGTGTCCACAAGTACGTGCACGATTGCACTGAAAGGCCTCGTATTCTCTTAAAATATTTTGAGTGCTGTTTTATTTGTTGAATCTATTGTTTCGATTGAAAACTATGTAGTCAAATTATTATGTGTACCTCCCCTACCTAATGCCTCACGGCGATGTAGGTGAAATTTAAACAAATAAATAAATAAATTCGAAAAAAGAAGAGAGAAAAGATGCTCAAGGTGGCTAGGCGCTGATGACGTTTTTTTCTATTCTCGTGCCATCCTTCCCTACTTAGCTTCCAGATCTTTTGACGGGTCGAGAATGGAGAATGCAATTGCAGCATGCGACAAATTTTTGGAACTCCGCTCGCACTGGACCGATTCTAGAAACTTTGCGGCGGTAAATTTGTGAGGCGACAAGCATGTTTACTGGCTCCATGGATACTTGAAAAAGTGTTGCAGGGCCCCTTTAAAGGAACATGTTACCCTCAAATCAATCCATTTTATTAAGCTTCTTATAATGGTTTATATGATTTACCGTATTTACTCGATTCTACTGCGCCCTCGATTGTAACGCGCACCAGATTTCCAAGACGAAAAAAACAACAACGTAAGACATCGATTGCAACGAGCACCCATTTGTCTCGCTGGCCCGCACGATCACACCACTCAAAAAAAGACTCCTTTCGAGAGCGTCATCCATTTAAATTTGAGGTACGGGTGAAGCTTGTGCCCATCTGACGTGTAACAGAGCATTGCCGTCACTGTAGTTTTACCGTGGATCGATGTCAGCACGTGAACTTGCTTCGCCCCCTTCTTCTCGACGGTTGTGGTGCCAGGCATGTCGAAGTAAAGAGGCGTCTGATCGGCATTCCCGATTTGCCCAAGCAGGTAGCCGTTGTTGTGCCGCAAGTTTAAGACGAACCTCTGAAAACTGTGAAGCTTTTCATCGCACTCCCCCGCAAAAAACTTTTTGCATATGCCCGTTCCCCTTCGGAGGGAAAATCCTTTCCCCTTCATAAAGTCAGTTACGCATTAGACCTTTTTTTAAGGCTAATTGTGTAGCCCGCACTGCTGTGTCAAGACGAACGCGGCCGCTGCCGGATGCGTTATCTTGAGCGGGCGGCGGCGGAGGTGCTAGGCCTATGTTATCAGGGGCCTCGCCGCTGGCCACGGAAGGTGGGTCGCTTGCTCGTTCAGCGCTCCTCGCTGACGCGGAACGGCCTTTGAAGTTCTCGAGGAGCGACTTCTTTCTTTTTTTGCCGTACTGATTCCTTGTGTGGAATTTCCTTCCGGCTTTCCACATCGCGCGCGATCCTTGGCTAATCCGTCGTTCTCAGTCCGAGCAATATGGCGCCTGACTGCGCCGCCGACGGCGCGAAGCAGACGACACACGCCGTTTGCGGCCAATCGCGTTGCGCTGTTTAGTCACGTGCGCTCGCCGGCGAATAGGAACGCATATTTTTGCTTTTTTTGGCGCGTGTTTTCTACTCTACCAATGAGCGGACAGGAGCCAGAGTGGCGGGAAATTGAAGACCGAAGACCGCGCTTTCAAATGAGACCTAGATCACTGCGATACTGCCCGTGGCGCAGCCGCGGGGAATCATTGAAAAATTGCCATTTTGGCGTCGGAATCTCGCCAAATCAGGCCCGTACGGCTTTTATAGGTAGCTGTTACTGTTCAAGTACCAACTTTTCGGAGGAAAAACTGAGCAAACTAATAGAAAAATACCTGTAAATTTCAAAAATGACATCTAAAAAAAATGCGTTTTTGGGCAATTTTTCGGCCCCAAAGACCCGTGTGCCCCCTTAAAGAACCCCAGGTGGTCGAAATTTCCGGAGCCCTCCACTACGGCGTCTCTCATAATCATATGGTGGTTTTGGGACGTTAAACCCCACAAATCAATCAATCAATGTCCGCAAGTACGTGCACGATCGCACTGAAAGGCCTCGTATTCTCTTAAAATATTTTGAGTGCTGTTTTATTTGTTGAATCTATTGTTTCGATTGAAATCTATGTAGTCAAATTATTATGTGTACCTCCCCTACCTAATGCCTCACGGCGATGTAGGTGAAATTTAAACAAATAAATAAATAAATTCGAAAAAAGAAAAGAGAGAAAAGATGCTCAAGGTCGCTAGGCGCTGATGACGTTTTTTTCTATTCTCGTGCCATCCTTCCCTACTTAGCTTCCAGATCTTTTGACGGGTCGAGAATGGAGAATGCAATTGCAGCATGCGACAAATTTTTGGAACTCCGCTCGTACTGGACCGATTCTAGAAACTTTGCGGCGATAAATTTGTGAGGCGACAAGCATGTTTACTGGCTCCATGGATACTTGAAAAAGTGTTGCAGGGCCCCTTTAAAGGAACATGTTACCCTCAAATCAATCCACTTTATTAAGCTTCTTATAATGGTTTATATGATTTACCGTATTTACTCGATTCTACTGCGCCCTCGATTGTAACGCGCACCAGATTTCCACAACGAAAAAAAAAAACGTAAGACATCGATTGCAACGTGCACCCATTTGTCTCGCTGGCCCGCACGATCACACCACTCAAAAAAAGACTCCTTTCGGGAGCGTTATCCATTTAAATATGAGGTACGGGTGAAGCTTGTGCCCATCTGACGTGTAACAGAGCATTGCCGTCACTGTAGTTTTACCGTGGATCGATGTCAGCACGCGAACTTGCTTCGCCCCCTTCTTCTCGACGGTTGTGGTGCCAGGCATGTCGAAGTAAAGAGGCGTCTTATCGGCATTCCCGATTTGCCCAAGCAGGTAGCCGTTGTTGTGCCGCAAGTTTAAGACGAACCTCTGAAAACTGTGAAGCTTTTCATCGCACTCCCCCGCAAAAAACTTTTTGCATATGCCCGTTCCCCTTCGGAGGGAAAATCCTTTCCCCTTCATAAAGTCAGTTACGCATTAGACCTTTTTTTAAGGCTAATTGTGTAGCCCGCACTTGGAGCATTTTCGTCGTCACGGGCCGCTGTGCCGCTCGCTGCTCAAGCACATACTCGCCGAGCAGCTCTTTAATTTGCGGAAACCGACCCTGCTGTGGTCCACTGAAGCCTTTGCGTGAAGCTTTGCTGTCGACAATCTTCTGCTTTTGTTTCCACCAGTCCCGCACGCACGTTTCGGGAACTCCGAACGACCGCGATGCGGCCCGATTTCCGTCCGTTTCTGCACACGCGATGACTTTTCTTTTAGAAGCGGCATCTTGGAGGACTCGAGTTTTTGGAGTCGGCCCTTTCATGCTGTCGATGCTAATGCACTACAAGATGACGAACTCCTCAGCACACGTACGAAGTGCTGCACATGGGAAACACATAGGCAGAAATGGCCGACGCACGTAGGGGGCTGCCATTTTGGAAATGCCGATGGCAATAGAATGACCGTATTCATTTTTTTTCGTACTCGTTTCTAACGCGCATGCAATTTATGAACCCGCTTAATCGGAAAAAAGGTGCGCGTTAGATTCGAGTAATTATGGTAAGTATAATAAATTTTAAAACGTTATGTATCTTACGGGTTATCACTCAGATCCCATCGAAACTACTAATCAAGGTTGTTTCGACTTCCTTTCAATGAAAAAAAAAAAAGGCATTTGCATAGAGCCCCTATTTCAATTCTAAAGAAATGTCGTGCAGGTTAGTTAGGTTATGATAAATTTCCCTTTTTTATATGTCATACATACTATTCGAATTTGATTCGAAATTATTCGACCGAAATCACTATTCGCTTCGAATTCACTTCGACCCTGAAATTCACTATTCGCACAAGCCTAGAATTTTCCCCGCGAACGATCTAGGAATTTTGCCATGGATTTGGTTTTTTTGGGACAAGCATGCATCTTCCGCGAGCACGACGTCGCCGACAAAGCGCGGCCCTGTTGAGAACTAGGCGAGAGCGAGAACTCGTTGCATGTGGGTGAGCACGAGGCAGGCAGGAGGGCCTGCGCTCGACGAGCCATTGCTCTTGCCGCCGCGAGGCATGCGTAAATGTTCCCCTTCTCGCACCAAATCAAAAACAAAACAAAAAACTTCTTTTGCGTTGGCAGTGCCATGCTTTTAGTTAGCGTCGCATATGTGGGGCCACGCTGCTTGTGGAGAGCACTTTACCGAATAGTTTTCCGTGGTATCTGCGCCATTCGCTCTTTGTTTTTGCTGCTGTGCTCGCGTGCATTGTTTCACTGCGTGAGCATGGTGGCCCCCAATGACACAGCTTTCATTTTTATTTTTTCATTCCTTTCTTTAAGGGGGGCAGACTGGTCTTTGAGACCAAAAAGTGAAAAAATTCATTTTTTAAAACTGACATATTTGGTTTTGCAAGTATTTTTCTTTCTCTCTGCAGATTTTCACTCATCAGGAAGTGGTAATTTTTTTGTAATGTCATTCTAACTGTCCAGATTCTTGGTGCTGTTAATACTCAGAACCTGCCAAAAAAATGGGGAACCGACTTCAAGGCTTCTTTATAATTTATGGGCACCTGTGTTAGAAGCTGTGCTACGAATTTGTGAGCACCTTTATGAGGATTGCAAAACATGCGCATCTTGATTGTTGCTTTTTGAAGAAGCTGTGCGTTTTCAGTTTTTTCTATTTTTCTCAAAAAAGTAAATTTACAACTGTTCAATTTTGAGGGCAAGTACAACAGTAATTCTTTTTGCAATGAAAACCTGTATGTGTGTAGAATTTAAGTAGGAGAGCAGAATTTATACCACAAGCCTTTTTTAATTACTCATCAAAATTGTAACACAATTCCAACTGCTTTTGAAAATGGATAGTTAGTTTTGCTGTAAAATAACCAAGAAAGGCCTAAAAACAAAAACTCTTGCATTCTTTCAATCTATAGTCATTAGTCCATGTTGGCATATCTTAAATATCACTTTTAAATAATTAGTCTAAGTTGGCATATTTTAAGTATCACTTTCAATTGAGCACTTTTTTATGGCGGCCTTAAACAATAGGAGGTGAGCATAAGTTATTTCAGGAACAAGATGAGTTACAGGAAAACTAATTAAATATTTGAAATCAGCAGAAAAAACTGCATAATCCTGTGCAATTTGCGCACTCTTGTTTCAAAAATTTTGTTGATGAGGGACTGCGGTATGAATATCTTTCGTAGTCGTGAGTTACGGAATGCATTGATTTCTATGGGCGTTCGCAGGTGCTGCGAAAATATTTCCTTGCAGTGAGAATTTCGTTCCCTCGGGATTTTGTTATTGCGGGTTTCAACTGTATTCACTGTGAACCTAAAATTCACTATTTGGACAAGCCTACATTTGTGGCAATGAGCAAGCGGTCAAAAAAGTGTATGTGCGAGCTTGGTCATCTTTTTAATATCGTCTCGTGTAAAGTGATACCCCACAAAGATGATGTTTTCAGGTTGCATGCATCTCTTTCTTCGCAGGTCCATCAAGGCCTTGCAAGGCTACCTGGAAGGGCTAGGTGTGGACTTTCCCTGCCTCTGGGAACAGATGGTCGACATTGTAGTCAAGACGTTGGCTTGGTGAGTGCTAACACCCACTCTTGCTTTACAGTCACAGACCGTTTATTCGGACTCGACAGGAACGGCCAAAAAGTCTTAATAATCGGGAGTCTGTGTCACACAGGTCCCGTTAATTAGGGAGGCGATCGCCGGGCTAATTCCAAGGGAACCGCACCACGAAAGCGTGGACAATTTAGAAGTGGTCCTTTTCGGCGCGCCAGCGGACTCCGGCTGTGGCCCAAAGAACAAGTCAGAGCCGAGAGTTGATAAACAAAACAGAATTATATTCTCAGTAGTGGCAGATCAAAAACAATACACAAGTATGCACTCCACGATTGTTGAGTACAATATATCACCTAACAAACAACGTACTACACAGTACAATCAGCCACACTCGAAACAACGGACACAGACAACAATACGCACTACAATGCAGTCGCATGCATTGAACAACCAAGACACTTAAAGACTTAAGAGACAGGAAACCTATTCAGTCCAAAGTTCTTGGAACAAAAGTCTGGATGATACTCTTCCGAGAATCACTCACTCAAAGTCCAGCGTTGTTGTCATTCCGCTGCCCTCGAAGTTTCTCTTCCAGGAAACCTCGCCGAAGTTTCTCTTCCAGGAAACCTCACGTCTTCAATAGGCCACTCTCCAAGCTTCAAACTTCTTCGCCGGAAACACGTCGGCTTCACACACGTAGCCGTTGCCACGCGTCTTCGCTCGATAGCGGTAAACACACACTCTTGCCTGTAGCTCAAGTCATCATCCCTCAGGTGGAAATCCTCTTCTTTTCCTGCTTTGTCTCCACGGACAAAACCTTCGCCGACCACGCGGCGCAATCCCTACGCACTCTGGCGCTAACTTCCGTCTTCTCCTGATCTCTCACCTCGGCTGCTCGATTAAATACCCTTCACGCGAGATTCCAGAAGGTTCTCGTCATTTCGTCGGCGCGATACGCAGCGAAGGTTGGGGAGAGGGCGAGACGGTTCGAATGCTGGCCGCGACAGATGACTCAACCCGGCTTCAACCACGCCCCTTTCCATCTACAAAGTTCGAGTGCTTGCTCGGCCGCCGTTGTGGCGTGAGGAGGTTCGTCGGCATCTAGAAAGTTCGAGTGCTTGCTCGGCCGCCGTTGTGGGGTGAGGAGGTTCGTCGGCAAATCTACGCTTCCGAGGGAGGGAGTCGCGCCCGGGGAGTCTGGATGTTTGTTTTCCTTTTTTTTTTATCGTTGACCTCGCGGCGTCACTCCGGCGTTTCATCGCGAGGAGTTGGCGGCGCGCTCTTTTTGAGCGCTCGTTCTGTGACACGGCCCCCACTTTAAGAATATTATCTCATAATATTCAAAACCACACAAACGAGCGCGAACAGTCACCACACACTCTCACAGACTGTAATACAATCCGTCGCTCATGACACTTCACATTCACAATAGATCACTCAATACAACTGTACATTGTAATTCAATTCCACAACACATGAAATATAGCCACAGGTACATGAATGCAACACTCCATCACATATTCCAAACAGTACAAATGTACAAAGTTCTCTCATTACAACAATCAGACAATACTATACATCACGTCACCGTAACAAACATTTTGACTCGCTCGACATACAGTTGTAACACAGGACAACAACCACATTAACTTAACAAAAAGCACTGTCAAACACATTCCGGTTCGACCTCAGCACTTATCCTGTGCATTTCGGACGGCGCTTGCGCCCTTTCTTGCGGTGCTCGCTCGACCTCTTCTTGTTTTTCCTCGTTCTTTTTCGGCGAAACCTTTCCAACGACAGTATCTGAGGCGGCGTCTCAGCCATCGTTGTCACTTCCGACATCGTTAGCGGGTCATAACGCTCAACCGATCCCGTCACCCGCTTGTTCATGTCATGACATTGGGCCTGGCTGGCCGACTCCGTCGCCTTTTCACTGTCGGTCGGTTGAGGTCGTGCCGACGTAAGTCCAGCTGCCCCGCGCGTAAACTCTTTCCACACGATCATCTTGTCATTCATTGTCTCTTGCTCCTCGGCTTCACCTTGGGCTCGAGTGAGATCCGTCACGGGATGCTCCTCCACTGTATCTCGCGGTCGCTGGGTTGGCAAGGGCTCTATCTTAGGGTCTTCTCCCAATCGTTCTGGATCATTCGGCCCTCGCGCCCCGTCGATGTTTCCGATGACGAGGTTGTACAGGGGGGTCGTCATGCGTAGAGCCGTAACCTTCCCGCTGAAGTACGGGGTTTCAACCTCAATCTCTGCTTCGGGAAGCATCCGAACCGTACGGTCAATTAGGCAAACCGGTTTCGTTTTGCCTGTCAAATCATTTTCCCTTACCAAATTTCTCTGCACGATAACAGTGAAGCTACCGGTATCCCTTAACACCGTAACCTTCTTGTCCGCAACTTTTCCAGGCAGCGTTGGCATTCCCTTCGTAACACCGGTTGGCTGTTTTGCCATTACAGCACCCACAATAGGAATTTTCTCCCCATTTTTCAACTCTACAAATCCGTCGGTGACGGCATTATCATCGGATTTCGGTGCTGCTAGCACACAGGATACCCTGGTGAGTTTGACTCGCTCCGTTTCGACATGCGTCTGCTTGTGCCCAGTCTGACCACACTTGAAACATTTTACAACCGTGGGGCTCGTGAAGTTAGTTCGGCAGTTCTTAGCACGGTGACCCACTCGGTTACACAGAAAACATCGCGGAATGCCCCTTCTGCAACGTAGCCCGGAAGATTGTATTTGTGCTTTGGAGGTGGCACGCTATTCCCCTTGCAGGCATTATGACGGCACCACGAGTCTGCACCTTCCGGGCACAAGTCATGGTGAGGATCCTCGTCAGTTGAGGTGACGTGATAATATGACGCCATCACTGCACGTTGCATTGCAGCCACATTGTTTGAATTGTTCCGCAGTGCCCAGCCATAATAGTCTGTGAGTTTATCAATAAGGGCTTTTGTCAATCTGCCCTTCCCTCCCAGAGCCTGTTCGCTTTTCTGCACAAGATTACGTAGGGCTGTGCCCATCCTCTTCCGGACATGATTCAAGCATTCTTCTTTCACAATAGGGACTAGCCCATAAACATTGTCTTGTTGAAGGGCAGAGAATGTGGTGCTGTCCCCATCAGATACAATGGTTGTATACCGGAGGTTATGCTTGGACAGTGAACGTGAGAACAGAGTTACAGCTGCTTCAACCTCCATCCTCCCAGACTTGGCATCAGTGTTTTTTTGGCACACATGGTGCTTCAACCAGCTTGCATAGCCCTCGTCTTCAGGCTTCGGTCCTACCTGGCAGCCGAGACACTGATTCGATAAAACTACAGCATCCAAGATGAGGCCTGTGTGATACTCGATGATTGCACCAACTCCAATGTGAGATGTATGTCCGCGCTTATGCCACGTGCCATCATAGTTCACTGTAATGTCCTTGCAGAAAGATGGGTCCATCTCCTTGTACACCTTTTTCACAGCAGAAGCCGATTCTTCATAGAATTTATCCAGGGTCTGTTGCTGTGGTTCTCTGAATTGCTTCAGGTGCCTCTGGAAAGTTCTGTGGTGCAGGCCACGGTGGGAAACATTCATAGTTGCCCAAAAGTCGTTGAGGGCTGTCTGTCCCTTCCCTATTTGTTTCATGGCCGTAATGGCTCTTATATTCACGTCGAAGGCCCGTGACTCGTTCTGACGAGCAGAGCTCCACGAACTTGAAACTATTCCACAATGTGGACATACGAGCTCAAGCTTCGTGGCAAGTCCAAGCTGGGTGCCTCCTTGAACTTTCATCCCGGTCGCGAGGCAGCGCGGGCACGGGGTCTTGGACAGCATGTCGCTAAGGGCATCCCCTTGCACGAGGAAATATCTCTCGCCTTCGGTCGTAGCGATGGCAGCTTCGGGTTCAGGCATCATCGCTTGAAACTTCCTCTCGGTCGCTGGCATAGCGCCAAGCTTTCGTTGCACAGCAGCACGTTCTCTCTCCGCCGTCGCCAACTCCTCGCACGTCCGAAAACGTGTTTGGATGTGCACAGTCGACGACGCGGTCTCACTGTTCGGGGCCGGAATCAATGCGGTTGGCAAGCGCGACACACCAGGCACACTTGAGCACGAAACACCAGCCTCACTCATCACGACGGATCCTTGTGCCGATGGTGTAGAAGTCTCGTCGCTAGAAGCGTCGACGCAATCGTCTTGAAAAGATGAAGCGGAAGCATCGGTGCAAGTTGGCTGCATCGGTCGGCGTCAAGCCTTACTACGTACACACTGAGCGCTTCACCCCTCAGCAAGCTACTCAAACGCAGTTGCCCATGATGTTCGGCCAATTCTGGTCCTTTGCAATTGTCCCAAATCTGTGAAGGTACGCGTCAAGGTCGTCCTTCCTTTCATCAATACGCTACCGAGCAGCTTGCTTGTGTTCAAGCGGAAGCCATGATTCTCCCGTTCGCTGCTTTCAACTCTAGCTTGGACCGGAGTTTCACTTCGCTGTTGCCAAACGGAGCCGCTCGAGTTCCATCTCGTGCTGCCGCTGCCGTTCCCTTTCCTCTCTTTCTTCTTTCAGCTGTCGCTCCTTTGCCTCTCTTTCTTCCTTCAGCTGTCGCTCCTTTGCTTCCCTTTCTTCTCTCGCCCTTTCAGCTGCCAACTTTTCTCTCTCCCAACTCAGCTGCTTTTTCTTCCTTGGCCCTCTCAGCTGCCAACCTCTCTCTCTCCAACTCAGCTTCTTTTTCCGCTTTGGCTCTTTGGACCGCCAACCTTTCTTTTTCCAGCTCAGCTGCCTTTTCTTCTTTGGCCCTCTCTTTTTCTTCTTTCTCCTTCTGGGTGACCCACTTCCGTAGTTCGACGCCAGAAAGACCCATCTTCTCACCAAGAGCGACTAACTTTTCGAGATCCATTGTGTCTCGCAAATAAAACCTTTGCCGCGTGCAAAAAATATCTGCCTAAATCAGTATATCGGAACACTCCACTGCACTCGTTAATGAGAACACTGCAACAACACACAAAATCGTTCCGATAGCACTATCAACA